CCCTCAAGCTCCTGGTCTCCTTTCTCACCTCCCCCTCACTGCTCAGAGCGATGGGGTGAGGCTGGGAGCCAGGATCCCTCAGGGCAGTGGTTCCCAGGATTGGGGGATTTCACAGCTCTATAAGTTGTCCAAAGACACTTGAGGGTGAGAGGGCGAAGAAATCAGAAAAAAGTATATTTTCTTTTGCCAAATAAGGGCATATAAAAAAAATCCCTTTTCACTACCATTTCGGGATAGGCTAGTGCGCCAATAAAGTGGAAAGGCCTTGCTCTTTGATAAAAGGGCAATACCAAGCTAGAAAAAAAAAATTACCGGGGGTGGGGGCGGGGATCACACCACCCCTTCCCAGACTTTTCTTCGTGGATAGAGAGAAATTTGACCCCCAATGGCCTGTGTCAGTTGGGACATCACGGTCTGCCAACCAGCACGGAAGTGACTTTGCCAGAACTGGAGTCTCCCATAAACACAGGAGGATCCACAGTGCCTGGGTTGAAGATAATCTCAATTCCTGTGCAACTTTCTCAGAGAGGAGCTCACCCCAAAACCATCCCCTCGAAGCTGAGGTCGGGGAGGCCTCGCCTCGGGACCGGTCCTCTCCTGTAGCTTTCCATCGGAGTCACTGCCCTCCCTCAATCTAGAGAGGATGGGGTCAAAATCAGCAGCAAGCTGGCACCTGGGGGAGGAAGACTCGAGAGGCGCCAAGGGCGGGGTCTGCACCGCATCTCTATTGCCAAGCTGAGCACTAATAGCCAAGTCCCCCAGCTCTGGGGAGGGGTGAAAATGGGCATCCCGGCCGGGAGCTGGAGGACCCAGAAGCCCCGCTGGCAGGGCGCTGATAGGATCTGAGCGCCGAGAAGCAAGGCTCTGTCTCTTTGATCCTTGGCCAGGCAGGCTGGGCCTGGACCGGGAGGGGCGGTGCGGCTGTCTTCCGGCCGGCTTTGCGCCGCTGCCAGGGGTCCTGTGGGGCCCGGAGCCGGAGAGGCAGCTAGTGTCCTCCTCCACAAATTGCCCTCTGTTCCAACTGCTCTCGCAAGAGGTGGAAGGGTCCACACTGACTCCCAAACCGAGACGTGCTTGGGGCGAAGGTGTGTGCGCCTTCAGTTTACTGCATCGCTTTCCGAAGGGCCTAGTGTCTTGCAGAAGCAGTGGCCGGCCAAGGCCACCCGTGTCCTGGAGGTCCGCGTGGATACGGCCCTGGGTGCCAAGGAGATGCCACTGAAGACGCGGCCCTAACTAGTCCTAGGGTCAATGGGCTCCGGGATGCAACTTCTCGGATTGAGTTGCTGCCTGAAGAGCCCGAGACCGAATCGCGTGGCCCACGTGGCCGCTGGAAATCTTAGTTCCTGGGCAGCAGGTTCTAGGCGTCGACCTTAAGTTGGGAAAGTCTTGGCGGGCTGGTGAGTGGCTGGAGAACCCGCGTGCGTGGCCATGGTCCTTCCTCATCCTCTGAGTCTCGGAGCCGCCACATGTCATATATTTTCAGTGTTTGAGTTGCGCGTGCAACAGGCGCTCAATAAACGTGAGGCGCGAATGCTTGTGCCTATGTTGGTGGGAGGTCTGGAATAAGGTCCCTGATCGGAGCAGTGAAAGAGGCAGGTGTGTGTGTGTGTGTGTGTGTGTGTGTGTGTGTGTCCAACCTGCAGCAGCCCAGACCCCTAGGAAGCCTCCAGATCAAGCACAGGACGCTGTTTCACACCAGGGTTCCAAGCCACCTACATATCCCATGGGTCTAAAAAAAAAAAAAAGTATTCTCCGCAGCTGGAGGAGAAACTCGGGCGCAAGTTGTGACTATCTTGTAGGTAAGGAAGCGGAGTCCTATAGTTACGCGATGGATTCCAGGCTGGGAATAGCTCGAGGAGAGCGAGCCCTTTAAGACTATGCCCAGTAGGCCCGTCCGGGTCTCTCCAGGGAGAGGAGGGGCGGGGCCTGGCGCGTTAGCCCCTCCCACCCGGGCCCCGCCCCGGCGCCCGCCCCGCCCC